CGCCATTATACTATCGTTGTTTATTTATTTTTTCTTTCGGGCACTATCTTGAACGAGGAAATGTTTTAAGGTAGGGCATATTCATAGGTGTACTTTAACTCTCAGGAATCTGGTATATTTTGTCAAAGTTTAATAGAGTGAAGGTAATCGTTTTTATGTTTGTAGACAACTTTTTTTTGGAGTATCTTTGTGTTGATGTTCTCATTTTTTAGTTTTTCTCAGTTTTAAAATTTAAAACTACTTTGCTGACATGTACACTGCTTGTCATCTGATTGCTTGTCTTTTTTTTCCTCTTGTGGAACTTATCACTGGGCAAAAAAAGGTTGGTTGTATGTTCAGTTCCTTGAGCTTTCTAAGTGGTACGTTGCACCTAGTCGGTCAAGACCACCGGTACCAGTATTAAAAAAGTCATCGAATAGCGTAAACATTAATTAGAATTTGAAATTGTATTCAGGCAATAATAACGGGTCCCAGTTATTTTTTCACGAAACGTTATGTTATCTTGGAGGCATTTTTTTACAGTTTAGTCTGGAACTTTTTTTGCTTTCTAAAACATGAAACGAGAATTTTGGTGAACTTGACTGTCTGAATGGCACAGCACCTCTAAAAAGTCACTTGAAAAAGAATCTCATTAGTGTTTACAACAGCATTTTTGTTTATGCAGCTTTTTGATTCTTTCCTTATTGTTTCTTTTTTTCTTCTTTGAGATGTACGTTTTGCAAGTTTGGTTAGCTTATATTATTTTTCGTATTTTTGGTCAATATCACGGCACAGTTGATAATTGTTAAAAAGATGTCATTGTTGCTTCCAACACTGTCCCCCATAAAATTATTTCTTCGACGTTTTTATTGCACACAACAAAGGCACTTGATTAGTCGCATTCAGCACACTGAACCCATTTATAAAGTACTTCTTAAGATAAGTACTAATGCCGGCCGATTTCTAAAACTTTCCAAATTAAAATAATTCACTTTAGCTTTGTTAAACCTAAAGTTTTCAAAAACCTGTCATCATCGACTGGCAGAGTATTAGCAGAGAGTACAAGACAGCTGTTTTCCTTTCACCATCGTAAAAATACTTGAGAAGTTGCATTTCGATTGCCATTAAGAAGTACTAGGAAACCGCACGTGCCCATCAGCTGAGTAGTTGAATTCTTACGCAGCACACGCTAACAAAGCTGTGTTGGCATTATCACCGTCAATGTTGCTGTTATAGTCATTACGGCAGAGGAACCTGACGTGACTGCTGCAAAGAACACCGAGTTGCCGCACTTTCAGCTGCTAGAGGCGTTTTGAATCTCATTTTCACATCTAACTCCCAGAATCTTGATAATCTCAAATACCATTGAACACGATGAATATATATATATATATATA